TTTTTTAATAACTCGGCTAATGCTTTCTTTTTTTCAGTTAAAAGAGTTTCTTCGGCCTTAGTTCGAGTGGATTTACTTTCTAATTGTTTTATTTCTCTTTTTAAGTTAGAGATTTGCGTAGTTATTGGTAAAGATTTAAATAATTGCTGTTCTTTTTCTTGTAATTCTTTTAATTGCTGTTTTTTCTCTTCTAGTTGGGCTTGGTTTTCGGGGTTAGTAGAGTTTTGTTCTAAGGTGGTAATTTGGGAGCGTAATTGGGATTGTTGAGTGAGATTGCTCTCTCTCTCTCTCTCTCTCTCTCTCTCTCTATGATATTGGAGTTATCACTACTATCATTATTCTTATTTTCTACATAATCATCCACTCCCTTATTGAAATCATTCACCATGTTATTTATATCCTCAGAATTTTTGTCTAAATTCTTTCTAATTTGTTCTTGTTGAGTTGAACAAGTAGCACAGTAACAGATTTCATCAGCCGTTAACATAGTTGAACAACCTAAGCATTTTTTCTTATTCCAGTAAGTATCACAGCACTCTTGGGAGCAGAATTTATGAGTTATGTTTTCTCGAGGGTTATTTTTGTATCAGCATTGCCCGGAAAAGAATGTTCAGCATGCTTGACATGTTATTTCTGAGTTGTTGTCTGGTTCTTTTAAATTAGTTTGATTTCAGGAGTTTAGGCATGTTTGGGAGCAGAATTTTGAGTGAAAGCCTTTTACCTTGGAAACTGGTTTTAATTTTCCTTTTTCTCCTACTACTTCATTGCATCAGCATTGCCCTGATTTATTTTGTTTACATCAGCCACAGACATACTTATTACCATTAATATTATTTCTATTAATCTCTTCCCCTTGCTTCTCCTTTAATTTTTTTAATTCATCAACTGTTCTACTATAATCTCAAAAATCATTCATATTAACTTCTCCATTTAGGTTGTAAGAGTTAAGAAGTCCTTGGGCATTTAGAAAATTTCTTGAATGTTTTTCAAAGGCAGAATTAACTTTTTTGTTTTGCTCCTGAGGATTAGTGGATTTTTTTACTTCTGCCAACTCTTCCTTCGCTTGAATGCGAAAAGAAATATAATTAGCAAAAGACTGCTTAGCCTGATTTTTATCCATGTTCACAAGAAATTATTATTTTACTATATTATAATTTTATAAGAACCAAGCTGCACCTCAGCCTTTTAACTATTATCCTTTTCTTTAATAAAAGTGAAGTAAATGATTAAGAAGATAATGGCTCCAATCATTAACTTAGTGTTGTAATCAAGTTCGATGTTAGCCAAGCCAGTTCCGCCAGTTACTGTTTTATTACCTTGTTTTATTAAACTTTCTATCTTATCATCCAATGCTCTTATTCTAGTTTGAATACTACTTCTTTGTGAGACAAGTGAGGCTAATTCACTCCTAATTTGAGCTTTTTCATGCTCGGGAGTGTTAGGGTCATTCAACTTATTTTGCTTTTGGGCTATTTGCTGATCTAGATTATTCAATTGACTAGCTTCTTGGCTTCTATCATTCTGTAAATTATTAATTTCTTCTCTGATCTGTTTAGATATTTCACCTTTTAAGTTTAATTGTTTATTCTCATTTTCTCGTTTTTTAGCATCTGTATCGATGACAGAGCCAGCGACAAAGCCAGCTATGCCAGCACCTCAGGCTAAACTTGTTCCGCCAGTGGCTGGTGCTAATAATACTCCAGCTATTGCTCCGGCAATTTTCATTTTATTTTCTTTTATTCAGTTTCAGAATCCCATAGTTTTATTTGATAATTAAGCCACAAAGGCTGATTTTATTGATTATGAATTTCATATTATTTGATTTGTTTTTTGATTTGATTTAATTGGTTAGTTAATTGTCGTAATTGATTATGGTAGGTTTCAATATTTTTAGTTCAGAGGGTTAGGGTTGATTTAACTTCTTTGATTTTAGTTTCGATTAGTTGGATTTTTTCTTTGGTTTCTAATTTGCTATTGTTTTTCATATTTTTAATAATGTCTATCTATTTTTCCTCGTAGTTCACCGACTAGTTTGTAGAGATCATTAATGCTGTTTTGTAAAAGGGTAGAATTATTTGCGGCTGATGAGGTTTGCATTTGCTGGTTTAGAACTTCTATTTCTTGGCGTAAGTTTTCTAAACTCTGATTTAAGGCATCAGAGGATTGGGCTAAAAGTCGTGGCATTTGCGGCATATTGTTGCCTAATGTTTCTTCCAACTTAGGAAGTCGGGGTGATTCAAATTCTCCATCATAAGAACTTAATTGCCCACTTTCCTTTTTCTGTCAAAAGAATTGCAAGAATTCTCCGACTTCGATATCTATTTTTTCTTTTTGTCCAGTTGGTTCACCACTTTCCTCATCTAATTCATCGTCCTCTGTTTCATATTGACCATCTGGATTATGAGAGATAAACATTTCCCAAAATCTTGGTCTAGTAGGTTTTTTAGGGTCATGACCAAGAAAATCGGCCACAAAAGAAAATTTATTAAACTTATTTATTTCCTTATTATCATCTTCATTTAGAGTATTAGTTTCTCGCCATCTTTGGGGCATGTCAGGAATGTTAAAGTAAGAGGATAATTCATATTTAGTAGGATTTGTTCTCGCATCATCGAAATATTTCTTAAATTCTTCTCAGGTTCAACTAAAATCTAAGGGATTACTTAATCTTCCTTCCCGGTAAGCAGCCTTTTCAATATCCTCCAAATGGTTAGTAGCAAAAATTCAGAGGTTGCTTGTCTCGTATTCTCTACTCGATTCACTTCCCTCTAAGCATTCTTTTAAAAATCTTAATTTGTTCGGGTCATGAATTAAAGAATTATTACTTATTTGGTCGCATTCGTCCACAAAAAGTATATAACGAATTTCTTGGTTTTTATCATTTCCTTCTCTTTCTAATCCATACGATTCTAATATTCATTCTAATTCACTAATGGTATAGATAAACTTCTGTAAAGGAGCAATTCCCGCATCATAATCTTGTTTGGTTGGAGTTAGGGAAGAACCTTTAACAATTACTAATGGGCAACTGTTGGCTTCAATGCAAATTTTCTTAGCGGTGGCTGATTTACCAGTTCCAGCGGCTCCGTAGAAAATGGCATTATTGTCTCTTTTGGTGGTTGGATCAGGACTACCTCGCGAAGGAGGAAAGGTACTCATTACTTGTTTATATCAGGCTTCGATTTCAACTGACCAAATCAAATCTTCATTTTTTGTTAACTGTTTACAATTAGTATGGTTTAGTGATTGAGCCCTTTCATAGCATTCTTGTAGGGCAGGAGGAAAAAAAATGTCATAACTAGCGGCTCGGGTAAAATGAAAGTCCTCATTTTTATCTCCATTCGGAAATGACTTGGCATCCTCCTGGTAGCGACCAACTAAAACATTAGCCAATTTTCTCACTTCTATATCAGCCCAACTATGAGTTGGTAATTTTCAAATCCTTCCCTTTGTAAAATGCTCTTGTGCCATTTCTGCTTCTATTTCCTCCGGTGTTTTTTGGTGTTCTTTTAATCATTTAATAGCACTGTCTAAGTCTTCTTTCTTATTTTTGAAAGCTAATTTTTGGGATTCAGTTCCATTACTTCATGATAAATATTCTTGACAAGTAGTTAATAAAGTTGGTATATTGGAATACCCCTCTGGTTTAAGATTCCTCACCTCATCCAATTTTCCTTGTATCTCTTCTTCTAATTTTTTTCTTTCTTTATCTGGCAAATAAATCATAAAATAATAGGCTGCTCCCGCTGCCAACAAAACCAATAATAAAAATTGCTGCTGTTTTTTTCTTTTTTTAGATTTGTTTTCTGTTTTTGGCTGAGAATCAAAATCAAAGTAATGGTCGATGTTATACATTATTCTTTTAGTCTTTTAAAAAAAGCCATTTGCCGCATTAGTCTTTCTTCGATTTCTTTTTCTCGTTGGCTTTCTTTTTTAGTGGATTGCTTTTCAGATTTAGTTAATTGGTAAATAGTGAAAAGTAGGAAAAAGGTTAGAGTAATTAGAATTAATCCTCTTTGATAGGGTTCTAGGTTAGTGTAGTAAGGGGTGATGGTTGCTTCTAATTGTTCGGTAGCCTCACCGAGTTTATTTTTTAGGTCTTGAGGGTTAGTCATGGTGTTTATGTTTCGTCTTTTTGTTGATTTATTAGGAAGAAAATAACTAAGGCGGCTACTCCTACCAAAATTATTAATTGTTGATTTGATTGTTGGTCGTTATTATTTCCTGTTCCTCCCACTCAGGGAGCTTGACCTGAACCTCCACTTTTACCACCGTTTCCTCCGCCCGAACTTCCTCTTGGATTACCAGAGCCTGGATTACTTGGATCCGGACAATTTATAGGATTAGTTGGCGAACTTGGCAAATTACCTTTTATAAGGTTTCCTAAATTGTGTAAATGATTATATTCAGCCAGTTTAGATAAAGGATTACGAATTAATTTTTGTTTGGTTTGTTTAACTTCTCTTTCGGCGGCTTGGGCTATAGCGATGAATTGGGCTTTTTTAGCGGGGTCGGTTTCTTTGGCAGCATTAGCCATTGCATCATTATATTTAGCCTCGGCTGCTTTAATTTCTGCTTCTAATTGTAATATCTCTTTTTGGTGGATAGGTTGGATATTTTGTAATTGATTTAATTGAGTTTGTAGTTGCTGCTGAAAACCATTCAACCAACCTTTGAGAAAACTACCGAAAAAGTCATTTCAAATAATACAAATTCCGCCAATAGAACTAGCACTAGTTATTTGACATTTATTAATGCATTCTTGTAATCTACTAACTAGTTGCTGTTTACGATTATTAAACTCTTGTTCATTAACCGCTAAGGTCATTTCTTGAATGTCGTTATTTATATTCGCTACGCTATTAGCAAAATCAGCCAATGCTTGGCAATCTTGAAGTAAATTATGTGAACCTCCTCACTGGCATTGTCCACCAGTTCAATAAGTTCCATCATTACTAACCTTTTGAGCTTGGCGAATACTGGTGTGAGCCAAGAAATTATTTTTAATGGATTCGGCATTAGTAAAATTACTAGAACCCATTCTGCCACCTTTTCTAGGATTTCCTCTGGCAATTGGTGTAATTTTGTATTTTTTCATATTTTTAAAATTTCTATTTCCTAAATTCTCTTTCTAAAACCTTTGTGTCGTATTTTGGCATAATTTTTACTGATTTAAATTTCTTTCTTTTCTAACCACAACTCCCTCATCCCCTTCAAACTCACCACTCCACCAGGAACCAGTAATCACCAATTCAACCAACTCAATCTTGCTGGTCAAAAAAGACCACTAATCACATAATAATTAGCATAGTAAATCCACTCGAACTAAGGCCGAAGAAACTCTTTTAACTGAAAAAAAGAAAGCATTAGCCGAGTTATTAAAAAA